TGCCTAAGGCATTTGACTAATAACCAGAAAGTTGAAGGGTCAAACCTACCAGCCACTCTGCACACGGAAGATGGGACAATCTACTAGGACTGTAAAGATTTTCACCTGAGAAACCCAGTGGTGGGTCGCTATGAGTTGGAATGACTGGATGACAGTGAGTTGGGAGGTTTTTTTTTTTTTTTCTTTTGTATTCCCAAAGGCTGGGGTGGAGAGGAATTGCTGAGAGAGTCCACTTGATAAACGGTTTCCCAGGATGGTTGGCCAATGCACAAAATGCAATCCTTGAGTCAACACTCAATAAGCCATTGCTATTAAGTTGATTCTGACTCATGGCAAGAATGTAGGACAGAGTAGAACTGCCCCATAGTGTTTCCAAGGCTTTAATCTTTACAGAAGCAGACTTTCTCCCTTAGAGAATAGAGTATGGTGGGTTCCAACCCTGATCTCTGGGTTAGCAGCTAAGCACCTTATCTGCTGTTGCATCAAGACTCATTTTGAGTCAATACAAGCCATCAAAATATACTATGCAGAATCATTTAATTGAAATAACTGGCTTCCACTATGACACTGGTATTAGCAACAATAGTGAAATCTATATTCTAAGTATCATACCAAGTATTAACATTTATCTTAAATGCTAAAAGTTAAATATAAACATGTGGTATGATTGTTGTTGTTGTTGTTGTTATATGCCGTCGAGTTGGCCCCGACTCATAGCGACCCCTCCTTGGGTTTCCGAGGCAGTATCACTACTGAAGTAGGATTGCCCAACCTTCCTTCCGAGGAGTGGCTGGTGGGTTTGAACCGCCAGCCTTCTGGTTAGCAGTCAAGTGCTTTAGCCACTATGCTACCAGAGCTCCTGTGGTATGATTAGGATACCTATATAAAATCTACTTAAAAATGCAGCCTGTAGTAATGTTCATAGCCAAAAAGCAGTGGTTTTAAACACGCTTTAATCTTAACTATCCTAAATTTCAGCAGTGGATGGCCCTATCCTTCTTCCTAGTCTGTCTTAGTCTGAAGGCTCCACTGAAACTTTTCCACCACCCTGCTGGTGTTTGAAATACTGGTGGCATTGCTTCCTGCATCACAGCAACACACAAGCCACCATAGTATGACAGACTGACAGAGGAATAAATAAATACTAAGCCCAATCATATAGTGAGAGCCTGGCATTTACAACTTCCTTGGAGTTGAGGATACTTCTGGAATTTGCATAGGGTTACACAGCCGACTCGACGGCACATAACAACAACAACAACAACACAGATAAAATAAACCAAAGCTACTGATTGCTTGGTTTCCTGGCAAGCAATTTGTAATTAGCTTAAAAGCAATCACAGCACAAAATCTAGTGCAAATACAGATCAATAAACGCACAATCCCTGGGTGCTGACAGCAGTATATCTTAAAGAACTGGTACTGTGTTCCTTGTCAGTTTTGGGAAGCAACTTCACAATTAAGCAAAGCTGCTTTCACAAGAAATCTGAAAGTGAAGGCCACAGACTGATTATGATTACCCAACCCGACGGAGAAATCAAACCCACTGCCATCTAGTCAACTCTGACTGATAGTGACTGTCTAGGATAGAGTAGAACTGCCCCGAAGGGGTTCCAAGATTGT